CTAACCTTCAAATTAAATGTTCGAAAAGACGCCCTCCGTTATCGATGTATGCTTGTGCCCTTCGAGTCATAGAAGTTTTAGTTGTCACCAACATGTCGGAATTTCGTCGAATTGACTCGGCTGCATTATTCACACGAACAGTTAATTCTTCGACGGTGTTAACTGGAATTTCAWACACAATCTGTTTTAAATGYTCCCATAGAAAAAAGTCACAAGGATTTAAGTCCGGTGAACGAGCTGGCCATAAAACTGGTCCATTACGACCTATCCACCGATTTTCTAAATTTGAACTTGGCGACCGCGAAATCGCTCCAGCAGCATTCGATAAAGCTTCCCCGTAGATTAGCACCATGTCTGTTAACTCCCGATTAATGTACTGCACCATTTTTGACGATAATTACAGGAAATTCACTTGCCAATAAATTGTATACACGGCCGCATGCAGGTAGGTGAAGGACGTGACTAAATTGTGTCAGTAAGTTTTTGCAAGACCTATCTACCTGGGTTTTTGCCGTATTTAATTTTTTGCGTACCGTGCCATCCATAAACGACTCGATGACACGGAATACGGTGAAAATAAATGTAAGTATAAATTTGAGTTTTCGAAAAAATGGTAAATATAGAAGTAATTTGTTTTGATGAGTTCTATCACCGTTTAAAGTTTCTTAACTCATTTCAGTAACTGTAGACTATAAGTGTAAAGGTGGTCTTGTTCTCACTTTCCCTTACACTCTTTTTATCACTTATCACGAGAACTTTTTTTTTCGAAATAAACTTGACATTTTAATGAGAATTTTGTTTTCTGGCAATTTAACGAAAAAAACTGCTTCTGAAAAAATTACCAGTCCGTAGGACGAGTAATTTTTTCTGGTAGTTTTTTGAGTTAAATTGCCTAAAGGAAACAAAACTCGAATTAAAAATGTCAAGTTTTCTTCGTAAAAAAAAACCTTGAGTGTAATTCGATAAGACAATTTAATGAATACGTATATCACTAAATTAACAAATAAGTTGTAATTAATTTATTTAACTTAATGGAAAGTTCTACTAGATTCAGACGCTTTCAAAAGTTAGGTTCCGTTTTGTGGCTATAATTGTTAGGGCAAACTTTTGCGCTGTCATAGTGACAAAAACACTGCGGCTTATGGGATTTTTTAGTATTTGAAAAAAATTTTCGAAAATTGTTAGCGGTAGGTAATCCAATTTGTCTCCATTTCTGTGTTTTCGTTTACAGACAATTTTTTAAAAATCCAAAACCGAAACTCCAAGATTCTTTATTAATTACCATGAGTAAATGTACTAGTGGTGCCAACGTTAAGACTGTTAGACACATTTAAAAAAAAAACAGGCTTGAGATACACACGGACACGAAAGTTTAATAAGCATTCAATCATATTTATTATGAAATCAATTGTCGTTGATACCTAGATTCAATAAACTTAATTTGTTTAAAAATGTCAGAAAATTATTAATCAATTACTTATTTGTCAAACTTTATTACTTATTAATAATTGTTGAATTAAAGCAGTGCACTTTACGTTAAGATACAAATTTGGCTGCTCAGAATGAAAACACCAAAAGACAAGTCAAAAATTATTTCTATTTCTATTATTCTATTTTTCAATTCTTTCTTTTTCTTAAATTCTTTTTAAATATGTCTCCGTGGGAGTTGGTGATCAGCAGGGTTGGGTAGCAATGTATTATTATACTATTAATTAATATGCTACGTGTCGCAAATACATATTTGCTATATGCTCGTTTTTAGTACAATGATTCTATTTGCTACATGTTACAATAAAAACCTTTATTCAAATAAACAACTTTATTTAAAAATGTAAACATAAACTCAGATTTCCAAAAAAAAAATAAACAAAAAATATATTAACTTAAAAAACAATATACAGAGTGATTTTTTTAAAACGAGTCTGGATATCTCAGAAAAATTAAAAAACCTCGAGACATTATTATTTACTTCAATTTCTGCAAAAGTGTTGATTCTGGACTTTTTTTTGTCACCATAGATTGTCACTTTGTCCTTATATATTGTCATTGTCCAACCGACGCTTTACAAAAAGTAGTTCTTCGTAAAAGTTGTGGGCTTTTCGACCGCGGTCCAACCATTGCTATTGCACAAATTATTTTTTGTGGTTATGTTTCTACATGTGTTTGACCAATGATAGCAATTTGATACTTTTGCTACATTTACGACGTCATGTTGTCGTCAAATCATCGCAAAACTTACATTTATCCTGGTGATCACGATAACGTTGCAACCGCATTTTTAGGGCATTCACTATAAATTAGAATCATAGCGATCTTTTGCATTTGATGTTCAAAAATAATTATTTCACTTGTCATATTTTGATAATGTCAAGGGTATGCAAACCACATATTGAAAAAATATAATTTATTACATCTAGTTATTTATGAAAATTGTGAATTGGGTTGCATTTCAGGTTCGTCAGTCTTACTCTTAGATGACTCACCCTGTAATTATGTCGTACATCAAAAGAAATTTTTTGGGAGCAGGCATGCATACCTAGATAATTTTGAAAACTCTTTCAACTGTTCTTCGATTATAAAAGTTGTATTTATAATCAAGGCTAATAAGAAGCAAATAACAAACGCGGTTAAATGTTGTTAAATCAAGGCGGTAACCGAATAGCCGGATGGCGAACAGTATTTTTTGTGATACTAAAAAATATTGCCAAAATTTTCCTAAATCATAATAACACGCAAGAAGACATTTGAGTGCCTTTGGTATAGCAACATGCCTAACAACGTCCACTAAAATTTAATCCATGCATGTTATATTTTAACGGCCTATAGGCTAACGATAACAGCCTACGAATTAACGGATGTTACGCATGTTCGTTGCTATGCAAAAAGCACACTCAAATGGCTTCTTACATCAAGTTTGACATTATTTCACATTATGATTTTGAATAATTTTGCCAAATTCTTTTAATATGATGAAAAGTGCTGAACGACACACGTGCGATAGGCAAATAATAGAGGCGTTTGATATCGGCCTTATGACGTTAATAAGTTTTTTACTATCAGTAAACCTTTCCATTGCCGGTTTAAGTACCCCATGAATATCCTGCAGTCAACGCAATTGGAAAACAAATCGCAACATTCTTTTGTGTCCAATAACACGACCGGTCATAATTTATCGAAAGCCTGCATCACGCAGTTATCGTCGTTCCATATATGTTACAAAAAACTGGAAAGAGCCTTGTCGAAAGGAAACCATCAATTACCCGTCAAGTCAGCATTAC